TTTGTAGTTTGGAGATTTATTTGACATTTAGGAGGCTAATATAAATGGAATCAGACAGTATTTATTTTGAACTAATGTTGAACACTGTATAATTTTAACTTAAGGCTGCCGATTGTTAAGAAAAACACGACAGCGGTAAATCTATCTCATACGTATCCTGCTTTTTGTTGTGCAGATGTTTTAGCTGACAATGGTCGTCTGACTCTAACTGGTGATGTCATCTCTGCGTTTGGCAAAATGATGAGTGCTCATCGTGGAGAGGTCATCTGCTCAGTTACCACTGCTCAGGTATGAAATGGGTTGACATGCAGGATATGTTGCTGCAAATCTTGCATGCTTCAAAATAAACAACTCATGTAAGCAGCCCCTATTGTTAACTGTTGATTTATTGTTTAGTAATGCTAACATGTTTATCCATTCAGCCTCTAGATGAAGCTAATCTCAGTGATCTGAAAGTAGCCCTCAAGGGATTTCTCGCGAAGGGTGAAACTATCAAGCTGGAAACAAAGGTACTGTATCTGAAACCTACACATGTTTTTATAGTTGGTGTTGCTTCATCCTGATATAAGAAAAGGTTAAACCAATTAGTTTGACTCCAATTTAGAAAATTAACATCTATTTCATTTTAACAACTCTGTAATTTCAACTTTTGTCACCTCTTCACAGTCGGATTCTTCAATCCTGGGTGGCATGATCGTCAGTATCGGAGACAAGTACGTGGACATGTCCACCAAAACAAAGATTCAGAAGCTGACCAAGCTCATCAAGGAAACTTAAGTCCTGTGGACTTAATTTTTGCAGAAGATCATAGATGACCAACGGAGGAAACGCTGATAAATGTATATTGCTACCTGTCCTAGCACTGCCGTTGCTCCATAAAACCAGTGTCTGTGCTTAAATTGATATGGATGTTAATAAAAAGTACAAAAAAATGAAGTATGGTCTTCTTTGTCAATGATTGCTGCTTTGACACTATCTCATATTCCTGACAGTGAGAAATGACATTGACAAATTATTTTCTAGTGAGTAGAATAGTTGGAGACAGTGTAGCAGTTGTGTAGCTGCAGCAGAACCATCACTTTGTAAACTTTAACCACAGAGCCACATTCTTACCGTCCGGCCTTTGTTTTAATCGGTTTCTTTCTGCACAACCACATTGGGTGACTGATCCTCTTGTTTCCTGGAATCCTCACTGCGCATGCGTGGTCAGCGCATCCTGTTTTATTAATTTTTTTTTTCCAGACGAAAATGGCTGCCTCTCTCATCTAAACCTCTGCTCAAAGGATTAAATGAGCGCAGAATAAGCAGCAGAACCGGCGCTCCCGACCCGACCCGATGCTGCTGGACACCGGGCTGTAGTTTGCGCTGCGGCCTCACGAACATGTTGTGGTTGTCAGAGACGGAAAATGTATACGAGTCGAAATTAACCCTTTGCTGCCCAACATCCACCAACAAATGAGGTACGAACAATTCATTGTATGTCCTGAGACTCGTTCAGCATTTCCGATGGGACGTGTTTCTATTTGATCTTGTGCATGTCATGCTTCAGTTTTTTTGCGAACTACAATTGTAGTTGACCTCGCTTTGTTTTGAGGTTTCTCATGTTTTGTGTTGCAACGATAAAAGGCCTGTGTGCTTCATCAAAAGTAAGATATTAAAAGCGTTCCTTTGTGTGTGTCAACATGCACATGATGCTTTTCCTCCTCCTGATGTTTATGTCTCTGCACTCCAACAGAAAATGATGCATCAAGTGACCAGCAGCAACAGTGACTATTGCATGAGTGGCCTGGCAGAGGACTGTCACCCAGCCAGCCACTTTGACTTATGTAGCACGCAGTCCAACAAATTCTACCCCTCTCCAACAAACCCAAGCTTGCAGCTGTCTCTCGCCGGCCTCGCCCCCTTGCCACAGGGCATGCACAAAGCCATGGCGTGCCAAATGCAAGACGCCCAGAACGACTTCCAGACTCAGACGGCAAGAATCCGTGGCAGTGAGGCTGCAGGGCCTGATGGCTCCAAAAAGAAGAAAGGCATAGTGAAGTCAGGACGGAGAGGGAGACCATCAGGCACCACAAAGTCTGCCGGTTACCGTACGAGTACTGGACGGCCGCTCGGAACAACTAGAGCAGCTGGGTTCAAAACCAGCCCGGGGAGGCCCCTTGGTACCACCAAAGCAGCAGGATACAAGGTCAGCCCCGGTAGGCCGCCCGGCAGCATCAAGAGTCTCGCCCGGCTCAAGAAGCTGGAGTTCGGTTGTGACAGCAGCAAGAAACTTGACTTTAGCAACTGCAGTGTTCCCAAGAAACTGGACTTCACTGGCTGTGATGTTCCACCTTTTCCGTACACCATGATGGAGAAAAGAGACCTCTGTGAGCCCAGTAGCAAAGTGGACGAGTCCAGAGAATAGTTCATTGGGTGCATCCGGCCAGAGGACGCTAAGGAAACATTTCTCTCAAATGTTCTAGGAAGTAACTTTGTCGTTAAGAAATGGCTCTGACTGAGTTTTCACTGTAAAGTGTTTGGCATTGTATTCATCTTCTCATAATAAAGAACTGAATCAGAAGTATGCTATTGCAATTTGGCAGAGATGCATGCATCACACCAATAAGTATATTCAAAAAACGTATTTATCAGTTTGTCGTTCAAACCTCACTGTAGAGTGGATCTTTTTTTTCCCTCTAGCATTTTGTTCCTCTGATTAGTGACACGTTCTTATTCTGCTTTGACATTTCTATGGCCGAGTTCTTGTGACATTTTCTACATTTATAAAAATGAAATTGCAATATTGTTCAAACGGCCGATGAAATCTTTTCCTGAGCATAAACGTGGATGTGTAATTGTCGTCTGTGTTGTGGGAACCTTTTTTTAAACGAGCTCGAACTGCAAAAACTCGATGCATTATATCCCTTTCGAACGCAGTATTTGTTATTTCTGCACTTTGTGAATATAGTTTTTATCATTTATCATCTATATTGCCTGTGTTTGTCCTCAAACCCACTCGAGAAGCACTTCCAGATTTACATGTATGTTGTTATGCTTGTTCATTAGGGGGAGACAAATGACTTCATGTAAAAAAAAAAAAAAATGCTTTGTGGAATATGTAATAAATGATAGTGTGTATGTGCAACCAAAATAAAAAAAATTGTCTTTTCCACATAACTTCTGTCACAGCGTGTAGTTCTCTCTGTAGTCACAAGAGGGCCCGTGTTCCAAGACAAAAACAGTCACCTTGTACTTATACGTTTATTTACTGCCTAGTGAAGTAAATTGCGGTGTATTGACAGTCATACTTCCCTTTATATACTCGTGTTCCAATCGTGTGGTAACAGAAGTGGTTGGAAATACAAACACAGGTTGTTGTTTTGACATGAAACGCTGGCTGATCCACAGGGTGGCTGAATAAGTTACTACTCGGATCTGCGTTGTGGTTTCTGCTTTCAAGTGCGTTGTGGGGTTGAAATACGTAACAATCTGAGATCCTGACTGCAAAGTGTGCACAGAGGGAAGCTCCTGTGCTGTCAGGTCGGCGTGGAAGTGGACGGTCTTTGTCTGATGAGCAGGGACCGGCCCGCAGCGGCACCATTGTGCGTGCGCCCTGCGTTTGCGCATTAATGGATATGTACCATCTTGTTTGCGCCCCAGATTATTTTTCACATAACCGTGTGTGAGACAACCACTGGTGTTTTTTTCTTTTCTTTTTTTAACCGGAGCGAACCACTCGGCCCCAGACACACTCATTTCTCCTCTGTTCTGCCCGAGCGCCTGGCGGCCTGTTTCCTCATGTCACAGAGCCAACATGGCGCACGGAGCTTGGCTTGACCGGAGAGGCCGTGCCATCATTGTGTTTCCTCGGATGTGTCGCTGCGCAGAAACCATCGGGCCTTCACATGTCAGTCGAGTGAAACCGAGTAGAAATAGAAAGCGAACCAGACGCGCTGACACTGAGAGAGGGGGGGTTATCAAAATAAGGCCATCCATTCATTTGTGATCTTAGTCATAAATAGTATTTATACACCAAGCGACTGTTTGAAACTTCACCTGGTTGAGCGCGCGCGCGCGCGTGTTGATGTCTGTGTGTGTGTGTGTGTGTGTGTGTGTGTGTGAGCGCGCGTGCTCGGAGGCTGAGTGTCACGGCCCTCTGCAGACTGGGGGGTTGGGAGCAGAGCCGATTGGTTGAGCCGCACAACACAGTCAGTCTGGGCTTGTTTTAACATTAACCGAGGGCACTTCGACAGCAGGCTTTTTAAAA